AGCAGCGGAGGAGCAGCGCAGTGGCCGGAATGGCTCCCACATGACAGGTGCAGCGCTCGGCGCGTCCCAACAGCTGAACCCGTAGGTCCTGACACCCGTGCCAGACCAGCACGAGAAACTTGTTTTGGGTGTAAGGGAACAAGGCACAGAGAGAAAAGGTTGGTGCCAGCGTGTGTGGCTGGAGCCACAGCATGTCTGGTACGAGCTCAGAGGGCAACAAATGGTGTTTCTGTGGCGTTAGGCTGAGATTTGCTTTGATTCTGGCAGCCATACTTCCGTGAGTCAGGAGAGTCTGCTAAGCCATGCCAACACTCACTGAGAAAATACGAAGTCCCTGCAAAAAGTGGCCCAGGCTTCATATGTTCCTCACCTGGCCCCAGGTAGACCCGTTCGTCCTTGGCCTTGTTAGGCTGGTAGAATTTTAGTGTAAATCACACCATGCGCGGACTCTACATACCAAGCGTTCCAGAAATGATATCCATTTTTGGCATAACTCCATCTCGATCGCCAATCCCGCCACCTCGGGCCCCGTACAGCCCCACTGCGTGAACCTCATCCACGAAGGTGATGGCTCCAAACTCATGGGCCACATCACACAGCTCCTCTAGCGGGCACACAGCCCCTGGGGAGAGACCACAGACCACTCTGAAGAGCTGGACATTTCACAAATTTCTGTTGCGCTAAATCAGTCTGAACAAAATGGCTTAGGTTCTAAGGTATTATTATTAACATTGGGGAAAAAAATGAACTTCCCCCAGTCTCTAGGTTATCTTGGGGGTCTTAGAGCCTAGCAAAAGCCAGACTAGAAAATCTGCGTTTACCCAAATCTATACAATGTCCACCCATTACAAAATCCTGGCAGCGTGAGAAGAAAAGAAAAAAAACTGCAAAAACAAACTAAACCACCACACTTTTTTCAAAAGTTCAAGCCTAGCTTTTCATGTAAGCTTTCAGATGGGCCTCTATCGAGACCTACCGTCCATCGAGTGAACAGTTTCAAAGGCGACTATCTTGGGGGCGCCAGGGTCGGACCTCTGCAGCAGCTCCCTGAGGTGGCTGACATCGTTGTGGCGGAAGACGTACTTGGGCACCCGGCTGTTGCGGATCCCTTGGATCATGGAGGCGTGGTTCCCAGCATCGGAGTAAATCTCACAGCCTAACACGACAAAGATGGTAATTGCTGCCATCTGCACCAGAGACTAATTACTTCCTAGACAGGCAGGGACAGCAGCAGCCTTTGCCCTGAAAACACTGCCTCTGCCTGCGCGTCCCTTCACTGTACGCTGGAGTCTTCCTGGCAAAGGAAGTAACCAGGCTGCTCCCCCGAGAGGCCCCCAGGTGTAGAACGACCCCGTGGCAGGCAATTAATCTGCTTTTAAATCTGGTTGCCTTACTCCAAACTTGACCAAAAGATAGCTTCAAGAGATTAAGAGAATTTTCCACAGGGTTTTCTTAGAATACAAAGCACATTTGAAGCAGTCAGCTTAAGGACAAGCCCTTCAAATCTGATTCTTCACTGGTGTCATGTTCCACTGGAACTTATAATGCGCAGTTGGCACGCACAAGTCAGGAACGAACGCTCCCAGACACTACCTTATGCTTAGTGGAGTGCGTTTTATAAGTCTTGTCATCAGTAGTTGTTACATTAACACCCCCATTATCCACAGGGGACACGTTCCAAGACCCCCAATGGATGCCTGAAACCGTGGATAGTACTGAACCTTGTATGTACTATGTTTTTTCCTATATGTACATACCTATGATAAACTCTAATTTATAAATTAGGCAATTTCACAGACAGAAGATTCGTTCTTAGGCAGATCTTAGCTGCCTCAGCTTACGATTTTTTTTTTCTTTCCTTATTAAGTCAAGAACTTTTCCCTTCTCACTTACAAGAAGCACTTTGCGACTTCTCTGTGGCGTGTCCAAATCGCCAGCATCACCACGCCTGCGCTTTAGGGCATTAGTAAGTAAAGTAAGGGCAGCTTGAACACAAGCGCTGCGATGCAGGACAGTCACTCTGATAACCAAGAGGCTACAGAGTGACTGACGGACAAAGAGATAAATCATGTCTTGGGCGGGACAGAGGTTTCATCACCCTACTCAAAACATCCTGCAATTTAAAACTTATGAATTGTTTATTTCTGGAATTTTCCATTTATAATAGTATTTCTGGACCACAGTTGACCACGGGTAACTGAAACCGCAGAAAGCAGGAATCGGGGGACTCCTGCATTCCTGTCCCCACAACAGGCCCGCTCACCTGGCATCATCTTGGCCAGCGTGAAGAGGGTGGAGTCGTTGGCCACAAAGCATGAGGAGAACAGGAGTGCTGCGTCTTTCCCATGGAGGTCAGCCAGCTCCTGCTCCAGGTCCACATGGAATTTACTAGTTCCAGAAATATTCCTGGTACCACCTGCTCCAGCACCATGCTGTTTCAAAGTGTCCCTTTAAAAAAAAAAAAAAAAGGTGAATGGAAAATTAGTCTCATGGTCTGCATGGCGCTATATGCACCATTCCTCTCCAGGATCTAAGAGACCGAAGCTTCTGTCCATGTAGCAACTCTCGCTGTGAAGAGGTTTCACCAACGTCATCTCTAGCCTAGACGGGAGGAGGTCTCAACACGGGGTGGTGATACATCAAGAACAAGTGTTCATTTAACAGCCACTTGAGTACTTATATTGGCTGAGTTAATTTTCAAGGTTTCTTTTCTGTGACATCACTCTCTCCAATAACACATCAGTCTCCAGAGGGAGGGGATGGCGGTTACCTAAACCTAAAGCCTCTGCAAACCAGTCACATGATGTCCAGATGTATCCATCACTAACTCTCAGACGGGGCCCTCTTTATCAAGCCTCTGTGGAGATTTCGGCACGCAAATCTCCCGAGCGTCCCCAACCACAGCAAACCTCCTGAAGGACACGAATGAGGGGATCTACCATCCCTGTGAATGTCTTTTTGAGTAGCTTTAGCTGCAGTGCTGCTAGGTTTGTATTTCTTCCTCTGCAGCCAGGAGCAAGGCTGCCTGGTGTCAGACACACTCTCTAGTGGGGTGGTGGGAAGTGAGCACAAGCGTCGTCAGTGAACCCATTCACTCGAACCCTCACACACAAAGGGGCTCCACCAACTGCTTGCACGTTACTTTCTTTAAAAGTCACCTGCTGCTATTTTTAAAGGCTGAGAATAGTATTTTGCTGTGGCACACTTTCAGCTGCCGAACTGCTGCCCTGCGAAAGAGCCAACCCCTGCAAGTGATCAATGTCTTACGAATAGTGTCAGTGGCTACTTACATGACTGCCCCACACACCCGCGGGTGGCGACTCATCCCTAGGTAGTCATTGCTACACCAGACCGACACCTGCTTTTTGGTGATGAGGGACTCGGAATAGTCATCCGCCATGGGGAAGAGGTGTGCCCTCCGGTTCACAGTTTTGAAAACACGGTAGGTATGGTCATTTTTTTTCTCATCAATTTTCTTCTCAAAGAAACGATCATACTGAAAAGTGGAAACAGCTGAAAACCAAACAAAAGATGGTACAGTCTGACGGTTAAGAAGCACATCTAAGCTTTGGTGAAAGACCTGGGTTCCCATCCCAGCTCGGTCGCTTAGCAGCAGGGAGATTCTGGGCAAACCAGTGAGGTCCTCATCTGGGCAAGTTACTGTACATCCTCATTGGAGACTGTGTATGTCACGAGTTTGGCACAGGCCCGCTGGCTAGGCGGCAGGCACTGGCAGGGTTTGTATTCTTATGGCCAAGAGCACCCACTGGCATCCAGCAAGGGACGGGGCCCTTAGCCCACACCTCACATGCAATTTCATGTTTAATCTGACGTATGTTTAAGTTATAAACTCTCACCAGCATCAGGCACCTAACCATGAGACTTACATTTTGGCAAGTTATCCTGAAGAAGATGGGACACTCTCTCTGGTCTTTGCTTTCGCATGATGTCCTGAAAGTTCTTCAGCAATCCGCTCGGCTCCCCTTCATTGGCCTGCACACTGATCACACTGGGGTTCACTGAGGTTTGGGCAGCCTCTGCAAAAAAAGTAACGGGAGGCAAAGGGACCAATGTTCTATTCTGAGTTCACAATACCTTCCAGACATAGTGTCAAAAACGGCTGACGCGAAAAAGCCGATCGTGACCAAAGTTAGTTGTAACTGAGTGTATGAAGCTTGTCTTCTTCCCTTTTAGTTACCGTAATGGCCAAAGTCAGAGCTACCAGCCAGCTCTCTAGCTGGTTGGCATGCCTTCCCCACCCTACCACTCCCCGACCCTAATCTTCATTTTCTTCCCAGACAACAATTCCAGCCAAGTACATCATTTCTGCAAGTGACATTCCTTGGGGACCTTGGGCGCTCCATGATACAGCCACAACTGGGATTAAGGTTGCTGCTCAACAACCATCCGTGAGACACACAGCTCGGGAGTCCTAAGACCTTCACTTACTGCAGTGACACTACTTTTTACAGTATTTCCACCAGGTGATGGGAAAGAACTGAAGGGAGTTGGTAACAGCTGATGTCTACAGGGTGTTTTCAGAAACTGAGCAGTGACTGTAGAGCTGGTCACATCCTACACACACACCAGAAAGAAAGTCCCATATTGTGCAAGACAGTCTGACTGTCTATCTTTATGACCTTCCTACTCGGCTCTAAAAGAGGAAGGTGTTTACACAAATACTACCCTAATAATAGCTCGTCTATAAATCTGAGGCTCCAAGAAGAGCCCAGGGAACTCCGGCCCCAGTCCGCGGCCCCGGTTACCTTTCCTCACGGCGTGCATCTCCTGCACATCCTCCTGAAGCTCCAGGCTGGCTTTGCGGAAGACGCTGCTGCCCGTCTGACTCATCTGGGCTGCCAGGAAAGGACATTTGCTGGCAGCGCCCTGGCTTGTGGCAAGGGAGGGGTGTCCAGAGGGAAGCTGCGTGTCACCTGGAGCCTGCGGGGACCCACTCGGGGCCTGCTGGATCTTGGCTTTCGCAGTTTTGTCCTCTGGGGGCGCAAACGGGAACACGGAAACCTCAGATCTGGCTGCATGGCATCTAAGAACACACTTGTTTCTTTCTCTTATTGCCCCAAAGACAAACTTCATCCTGACTCTACCCCCAAGTCCAGACACAAATTCATTTTTATCAGATTCTGCGAAGTTAACAGTTTTCTCATGTGCCTCACTGGAAACAACGTTCCTCTGAAGAGTTAACTGGCACAATCCAGCTACCTCTTAGACCCACAGGAGTTCTCACTTATGTATCTGAAAAATTGTACTTTCTCGTTTAAGACCGCCCAGGGTTCTTGAGTTGGATTATTTCCAGTTACGTCTACCCCAAGGACACTTAGCAGATTTCATGAGAGAACACACTCTTGAAGGTAAGTGGAACTGGTCACACAGTTTTTTTCTCTGCCAATGTTTTCTCTGAACAGATTCTTGACAAAGCAGCTTGCTGTTGCGTAACACATACACGACTGGTTTTCTTCTTGACAGAAGAAATTGGGCTAAAAATAAGGTCTTTAGATTGTTGTCTAATAGAGTTCAAGTTATCAGCGTGCTAAGGAAAAACCACAGGGGTATCACAGGCACACACGTCAGCTACTTTCTCATCTAAATGCATCAAAGGAGTTCACTGACTTAACACAGTGGGCTGGTAATCACGCTTCTATAATAGTTACAAGGATTTCCCTCTCCCCTTGAGCAAATTCTTTCACTTTCTTTCTAGAAAAGTCTTCATCATGCTGGAGGACTCTTCTAAGTCCTAGGCTAGCCTCTCCTACAACCTGGGTAAGGTTTTTTATTAAAATCTTCTATAAAGTAAAAAAAAATTGCGTTGACATACACTTCATTCCTTCTACATATTCATTGTAGGAAGTCTAAAAATTTAGAGTTCTAACATTCAAAACATAACCATTGCAAACATCTTGGTATATTATCTTCTTTTCCCTATGGACAGGTTTAAAAAAAGCTTTTCTTACTCAGTATAGATGCTTGTTTATTCTGCTCTATTCATCTAAAGATCTGCTTCAGCTGGTAAATGGTTTCGGAGTATCATTTGTGACAATTGCATGGTAATCTATTAAGTGGATGAGCCCATGTTGCTCAACTATCCCTACTGCTAGGGACAGACTGTTCAGTAAGAAAAATAACTAACTCCTGAACAAGGGTAAAGAGGAAAAGAAATCCTCCAAAGGACTAAATCCTTCTTCTTAAAGAAAAACACATTCCTTTCTTACAAGTCCACACCCAGAGAACATACCTAACAGAACCTGTCAATTATCCTCTAGGATTAAGTGGAATCTGAAAAGCCTCATGCTCTCCCTGCAGAGCCAGGTCAAAACTGAATCCAGCTCTGATCTCTTTATTAAACACAAAAATTTAAAAATTCATATACGAAGTAAAGACACGTGTGTTAAACAATCCTACGTTAACAAATTCTGTATGATTCTACTTACATGAGGTTTCTAGAGTAGCCAAATTCGTAGAGACAGAAAATAGAATGGTGGCTGCCAGGGGCTACGGGAGGGAGATGGGGAGTTAAGTGTTTAATGGCTAAACTTTCATTTTTGCAAGACGAAGCAAGTTCTGGAGATGGCTGGTGGTGATGGTTACATACTTAATACCACTGAACTGTACACTTAAAAATAGTTGAGATGGTAAGTTTTATGTTATATACATTTTACAATAAAAAATCATTTTAAAAAGAAAAAAAAAACACAACTTTAAAAGCGAAAAGCTTCCACTCAACTTTGCTGTGAACCTTAAATTACTCAAAAAACGTCTATTCATTAAAAAAAAAAAATTAAAGCCACAGGGCCAAATATTTAATGAAGGAAAGCTTGGAAGAGAACGTGCCAATTTTTTATTTCCGTGAGTGAGGCACGACAAACACTGAAACTCCCCAAAGACAAATGACGAGCAATCCCGAAACCTATAATGTGGAATACTGACCACTGTGTCCCCTTTAAAGGTGGGAAAACGGAAAGTGCCCACCTTGTGGGGTTAGGACAATTACACGGATAACCCATGGAAAGAACTGGCAGGCACAGAGTAACCCCCGTCGCCCTCATCAACCCCGTCCTGGACTACAACCGCTTTGGGTCTAGCAATGAGTGCAAACACTGGCACCCCCACACCTCACCGCTAAGGACACTTACTCTCATTGGCCGGAGGGGTTTCTCTGACCTGCTGGCAGCACACTGCTGACGTAGACAGGGCTCGAGGGGCTGGCTTGGCCCCAACTTCCATCATCTTAGGGCAGTTTTGGGCATAGAACAACAGAGATTTGCCTGCCTTCTGCAGAAAGGCCTGAGGCACCCGGGATAAGAATGGACAGCGGCGGACAACAGTCTCCATATCCGGGAGGTGCACTGATCCTGTAGAAAGAATGATGAGCAACGCCAACACTTAACAGGCAAACACACCGCAAGTTCACTGGGTTCAGGCGTCACCTGCAGGTCCACAGCAAGGGTACTCGGGGATACTAACAAGTCTTACTCAAAAACGTCTGAGGACAGCACTGGTGTGCGACTCAGCTCAGCAGTGGTGACCACACTCTACCCGTGTCGCCCACGTCTCCTTCATTCCCCAACTCCACACGAAAGCTCCCACAAAGCAACTCTACCAAATGGAGTCGATGCCGATGATTAATATCCAAGGGGATGGGACCGTGAGGGACAAGTTGGGAACAGGTTTTGGAGGTCAGAGGCTCCCAGAGGAAGATGCACGGTGCAGATTAAGACACCTCAGCACACGCCCAAGTGGAGAAGCGAGGGCGGGGAAGACGCCACTGTCACCCATCCAGGCAGACAGGGCTCTCCAGGATCCTGACCTCCTCCTGGTCCCCACTTTCCCAAAGCCGATCAAGGCATCCTACCGGGCTCTGGGTCCCTGGGGGGCGGCTTTCCCAGGGAACTGGGCAGAACTGGGAGAGGAGGGCGCATAAAGCAGGGCAAGGGCACCGGGACAAGCGCCATCGGGACTGACTGCAGGGGAGCGGGTGCTGCAAAGTCCAGGGCGCTGGGTCCATCTCGCGGAAGGTGGTGGCCCTGGGCACGGGGGGGTCAGAGGGGACCCGGGGGCCGAGGGCTCCAAAATAACGGGAGGGGTCCGGGGCGGCCAGTCCCACGGGGAAAGGCGGGAGGGAGGCGAGCGGGAGAAACCGAGGCGGCCGGCCGAACGGGCTAAGGGCCTGGGAGGTGAACGCTGACCCCCAAGGCGACAGGTGCCTGGGGCGGTGGGGGATGGGGTCCCGATCGCGCGGGGAGCAGGGTTAGAGCGGGCTGGCGGGACACGCGAGGGTCCAGCGCGCGGGCCCTCACCTGCGCCGGAAACGCTACGGAGGAGGCGGCGGCGTTGGCAGCGGCGGCGGCGGCGGCGGGCACCCAAGCCGAGGAGTCGAACCCAACCGTTGCCCTTGTCCGCGAGAAGCTCAGGCCACGGTCGCCGTCGTCCTAATATACGGCGAGACTGGCCGCTGCGCATGCGCCGTGGGCGCCAGCTCCGCGCAGGCGCACCGCGTCGCGCCCGGGGAGTCGGAAGGCGTACGTGGGCCGGGTGGGAACGGGTGGGAACGGGTGGGACCGGGGATTCCCGCGATCGCCAGCCGGGAGGAGGAGGGAGGGGCTCGGCGGTGGGCGGACGACTCCATCCTGCACCCCCCCTTGCCGCTGCCCCACTAACTATGTTTTATGCCCCCATTGCGGGGCATAAAAGAGCAGAGCCGGAGGGGAAGTGTCACTAGGGCCTACTGGGGGGTTATAGGGCTGTCAAAACGGGTTCCTTGGACAGAGAGGAGGGAAAGGGAAACAGGAATTCCCCACCAGGGTCTTAAGCAGAATTCCCCCCCCCCACACTCCCACCCTGCTTGCTTTCAAGGCTGTGACCGAAGGCCTCCCAGAAGAGGTGGGGCTGCATTGCCCAAGGATGGACTGGTCCTGGGGTGATGCGCAGGCGGCTGAAGGCGGGGGACCTCTCAGTGAGGAGGAGGAGCAGAAGTGGAAGGAGACCTCACTGTGGCACCTTCTGGTCCAAGATAAAGGGACTTAGCCTGATACAAAGAAACGGGGCTGGATGGAACCCACACAAGCCACAGCTCTGAGTACCTGGGGATGGCAAGGAGTGGGGAAGTGCAGTTAGGATTTTCCATTGTGGGCTATCCAAAGTCCCTTGCTGGCCACCCTGGGCACCAGCTGGGTGGCTCAGACTCCATCCCAAAGTTAAGAGCGGGCCGTGCCCCCCTTTGAGCCTCCCCGCCAGACCACACAGGCAGGGTAGAGCTTGGCAAACCCCTCTGGGGGACGGCAGCCTGGCCTCCTTGATCCACACCCTTCCCAGCTTTGCTTGGGCTGGGTTGATCTTGAGCCTGTGCCGGGCTCAGAGCTGCCCTCCTCCACTCTTGGGGAAAGAGCCATTCAGGTTGCCCCTTCCTTAGCTGGGCATTAATACGAGCGACAGAGTCCAGAGTGATGGCGACCAAGGTGTGTCCAGGTACTTCCCAGTTCCCTCCCTTTTGAGTCTCCAGCCAGCTGCAACAGGTGAGGTGAGTCATCACCAGCAGAGAAGACATCTGGGTCCAGAGTGGTGCTGGGACCCAGGATGAGGGCGTTGGCCGGGGAGTCCAAGGCCCAGCTCTACCCCATCTGACCTACCATCCACCAGAGGGGTTCAAGAGAAAAGGTCAACACTTGGACTCAGACCCAAATGCAGCTAGGAGTGGAAACACGGTAAAGAGGGTGTTGAATGCTTTGCCCATCTCTGGGCCTCACTTTCCTTAACTGAGCAATGGGGTCATAATCCCTGTTCTGTCTGCCTCACAGGGCTGTTGGAGTGATCAGAGGCAAAGCAGAGCAGAAAGAACTGGGCACTGGAACTGGACATGGGTTGTTCCAACCTGACTGTGACTCTTACTTGGCCTTGGGCCGGCCACAGCCTCTCTGAGGCTCGGTTTCCACATTGTTAAACTCTCCCAGCCCTGCCACTTGTGGTTGGCAAGAAGGGTCAGGTGAAGTCATGGATTTCAGAAGCTTATTGTTTAACCAGTCTCCAGCCCTCTGGGAGTTCCCTGTTTAATAGAGGGAAAGGTTGGGAAACAAAGCAAACTCATACAGCAAGTGAAATAGGAGGCAAATAAGACATTGTAAACAATTCCAGATGGATGAGGAGGCTATTACTCCAGCAGACACTGAAGGAGGGGGACCAGTCACCAGGCAGGCTTCCAGGGGAGCAGTGCTGGCTGCAGGGGTGGGTTTACGTGGGACTGGGTGACTGGTGGGTGAAGCCTCAAGGGAAAGGCCCAGGCCTGACCTGGGGGGCAGTATGAGTCAGCCAAACAGCTGGGCAGCAGGGGTGCAGCTAGGACATGGGGCCAGGAGGTCAG